TGAAGGAACACTCGTCGCTCCTCGTTTCTTTACATCGTGAATATTGATCAAGCCCCATCGGAACATGTGCAGAAAAAATCGGGTGTTTCGAGGGTAGCTATCTTAAACTTCCCCATGGAAAGGCTGTCGGATAGAATAGAAATTTTACAGGATACTGATTTTTTTATGAAACTTTTCTTACCTTCAACAACAGTTATTTCCTGCGGTGAATCACTGAGAGAAAATGAATATTGAAAAATAGCAGTGGGTCTGTCAAACACATCTATACGTTTCCCCGTGCTATCCATTGCATAGAAATTATCTTTCCCTTTTGCAATGTTTACTGAACTTGTTGTACCAGGATAGAACTTGACTTCAGACGTCGAACCATTGAAATATGTTTTCATAAGAGAATAACTATCACTAGCAGCGATATAATCAATCCAATAAATGACTTCATACTGAGGATCAACTGTCAGATATTTTGGTGATGTGTCGTTATGGTAAACAACCTCATTTGTGTCTTTGTCGAGAAAATAGCGAACAATGTCGCCTATGGTAGCGTCAGCAAATACAAGGGAACTTAAAAAAGAGACATTAATTCAAATTAAAAATTTGTGGTAACACCGCCATAAGCAGGCAAAAAATGTCCTCACAATACCATAATGACAATCGCAATATTCATCAGTTAAATTGAAATATTAATTTTTGTATGCGGTTGTATTCCTATAGTCGCTCGAGTTCACCCAACAACATATTGATATAGAGCGGTTGTAAATACACTACATAAGGATAGTATTCCGTAGCAAGACCACTTAATAGATTTTTTTCCTTTTAGCTTTCAAGCACGCAATGCGTGACGGTAGTTGATTATTAGTATAACAAAATCGCTTCTAAGCGATATCGCAACTCAAAGTTGCTTGATAATCAACACCGTCACGCATTGCGCGATTGAAGCAAAAAGGAAAAGTCTATTCGGGGGAGGGGGGGGGAGATTTATTCCAGGGTTAGCGATAACCCAGCGTTGAACAACCAACCGACCCCTGCAGTATAATAATATTTATAGTTATTTATGGGTATGAGGTTGCGACTTTAACGTGATTTAAAACGTGTTTTGAACGCTAAACATTAAGATATATATCGTTAAATAATATTTGTATCATTTTCATTTTTTCCATTTACTCTTTTTTACTTAATATTTGGTAAAAATTATTTCAGTTGTCTTACCTTTGCAATTATATAGCATTAAGATATAAACATCAAGAAAGCTACTCGAGCTGATAGTATCATTGTTAAATATTATACAAGACGATATAAATAAGAATAAAAAAATTAGAATACACAACGTCGACAACAAATTTTAACGAGTATATCGAGAAAAATGTAAAACCGAAAGTCAAAAGTCAAATGTTAACCAATTAAAAGGAAAGTTTTTCATTCATTCACGTGTTAATTATTTGCGCACCTGTTATCTGGATCACTATCCAAGTCGTCAACATTAGCAATATTGGTTGGATTAAGCTTCGTTATATTTCCAGTATTCAAGTCAATAACATTTAGTGATTTGAATAGTCCAGTAACGTAGTAGACCTTTCTTGTTATATGATCTACTGTAAACCGAGAGATGGTCGTGAGAGATGCTATCGTGGTTGCATTACTTCCGTCCAGTTTAACTGTGATAAGACTGGTGCCATCGTAGTAGAGGAGTCTTTTAGTCCCAGAATCATAATTTAGTTTCACGTCGGTTGCGGATAATATGGTCACGGTCGTGTTACCATCAGAGAATACGCCTTTGATAGCATCGGTTGTTGCATAGTATATTGCATCCACTTGGCACGTCAACACTACCCAAATTACAAAAAGACTTTAAGACGTGGCCGTGAAAACCGTACCTATTCTAAATTTTTCCAAGCATACGCACTAGATTACGTGAGAACTATAAATCCTGGCCCTTATGACAGCTAAACCCTTGCGATTACCTTCACAAAATAAGCCATCACCACTGAAGTTTGCTTTGCAAGCGCAATAGTATGATCCATTCACGTTTGTGCAAGTTGCATTTACATGACACGGAGCAATCGTTTCGCATTCGTTGATGTCTATATTCGATATAATTGTACGAAGTTAAGCGCTATTTTTATTAAATTGTCTGGGAATTTTGCGATTGCACAGTTGCGAGTTAATAGAGTTCGCACTTTTTTAAAAATGGATTGAAAAATCCTTAAAAACCACTTATATACGTAAGTAATGTTCGAAATATTGTCGGAACTTGCCTGTGCAATTTGTTCCGTTCCCTTCAAACCCAGATAGACACTCGCACGTGTAAGAATCACCGATGTTCGTGCAGTTCGTATTAAAACCACATGGATCACCCTCCGCACATTCATCGATGTCTGTCGAATTAAAATGATCGTGTTCTAATTAAATTTTTAGATATCTATAGTATCTATACTGGCTTTTCATTCAACCGCATTAAAAACTCGCGTATATTGAAACAAGATCAATGCGATTTGGCTGATTGTGCTTTCGTTAAAGGAATTAGTTTGTCGGAATATGAAGTCAAACAATTTCGCGTTTACTACAAATTTGAGATAAATGTTATCTGCTTTTATTATAGGGTTAGTTTAACCTACAAGTTCTGTTTTTAAGACGATACCACAAAGGCTGTTTTCGCCTGCAGAAATCAGGTGTAAAATGACTGCGATGATTTTCGTACCCGTTAAACGGTATTGCATAATCTGTGTTTCATGAACTTTATTATTGGTGACCCGGGGAGGGCGTTGCGGTTCGAAAATCACGCGCCCTATAGCCCTTTTTTACAAGACGAATTTATTTGCGCGAACGAATAAAAAGTGCATGGGAATCGATTATATTTTTTTGCGGCGAAACGTGAGTGATATTGATAATTGCAAAATTGCATTTCTTGGTTTTAGAATATAATTATTTTCCAAGAAACATCTAGATATTGCTTCAGTAGCGTAGCCAGCCAGTCGATTTGTCCCGCTATGCTAATATTTTAGTGTTCATTGCATGACTGTGAAAACAATAGATTTCTATAGGCATGAATAATTTTAATAACTCGAAATTTACATAGCGGGACAAAATCGTCAGGCTGGCTACGCCACTCACTTGAATTCTTAAAGCTCAATGTAGTATAAAGTTCTTGATGCAATATAAAATTTAGCATTCCCAAACATCCCGTGGTCAGAAATCATAATCTTCAGAAAAGCAGTTTTTTTCAGTTTTTATTCTTGCTTTTCCGAAGCGAAGATTGAAACCCGAAATTGTTCTTAGGTCGTTATGAACAACGTTTTCTGTCGTTAAAGTATATAATTGAGTTCCATTTTCATTCAAGATTAGCTTTCTGAAATTGCTGGTTTTCGATCAACAAAAGGAAACCTGTTTCTATCCCTTGAAGTAAATAATCTAAATTTAGCTCGTTCACACTTAAATTAATATACACTTATAATGTATGCTCAGTGGCGTAGCCAGCCAGACGATTTTGTCCCGCTATGTAAATTTCGAGTTATTATAATTATTCATGCCTTTAGAAATCTATTGTTTTCACAGTCAGTGAACACTAAAATATTAGCGCATAGCGGGACAAATCGACAGGCTGGCTACGCTACGTTGTATGCTCCAGAGGGAAATAGTGAGTTTTGTTATCGCAAGAGTCGAGAATTTTCGTCTCGAGAAACATTGAGGCTCGAAGGAAAACAAAATTCTCTATTTCCCGAGGGAGTGTAAATTAAGTGCTCTGTGCTTTGTTATACTGTACAGGAACAAAAACATACATGTTACGCAACAATTTTATTTCAAAAGAACAATGAATGAACCAATCCCAATCAAAACATACAACACCTATATAACAATACTATTTGTTTATACTGGCTAAATTGATACTTGTGGTCCATTTTATTGTATACTGCTCAGGTTAAAATACGGCAGGTAACTGATGAAATGGACACGGACACCAGTTTTAGCTGAGCCGAGGGTTCATTTCATAGGTGTACGAGGCGGAAGGAGAGAGCAGCTGGGTCCACAAAACGTTCTTATTACCACAGTTCCGGCAAATTATAATCTTTTGGTTTCAACTCACCTATGCAATTTGTTCCATTTCCTTTATATCCAGATAAACACTCACAAGTGTAAGAACCATCAGTGTTTGTGCAGTTTGCATTGTAATCACATGGCCTATTTGTACATTCGTCGATGTCTGGCGAATCAAAAATTAGGGTGAATTAAACAAGAACAAGGCAAGAAGGCTATTATGACTCCCACGATGCTACGAAAATATGTTGCTTTTGTAGATCTACCACAGCCAACTAATTTAACAGAACAAAACAGTCAAAGCAATGTGTCGCGAAATAAGAACATCATAACCGTTCAACCGAAACACTCAATCTGCTAAAAAGGTATATGCTTAAAATTTTAATCTATTGAAACATTTTACATCGAATAAGAAATGCCAAAACTACATAAGTCTAAACGACAAAATACTTATCACTGAATATCTTCTCTGAACCGTAATAGTTGTGAATGTGATTGGTTTTCTGAGCCTTCACGATTTGCGATGAATAATAAATACGCTAGTGCTAGCTATACAGGGTATCTCAAAAAAAAACGCATCACTTAAATATACAAGAATGTTAATATTTTTCGGGTTTGCACCATAATTCGGCTAAAGTGACTTTTAGCATTTTAAATGAAGGATTAAGAGCTATTTTAAATTCCCAGAGGAGCTTATCTATTGCGCTTTAGAGCTGTATTAATGTTCTTGCATATTTAAGTGGTTGCGTTTTTTTTTATACACACTGTATTATTTCGGGCTTCAGTAAAGCATTATGTTCAGTGGCGTAGTTAGCCTGATGATTTTGTTCCGCTATGTAAATTTCGAGTCATTATAATTGTTCATGTCTTTAGAAACTTGTTTGTTTTCACAATCAATGACCATAGCGGGACAAATCGTCAGACTGGCTACACTACAGATTATGTTTCCGGGTGGATTTGTTTTAATTTTATCATACTGAATTTTTCTCAGTTTTTTTCTTCGATAAATTAAAGCAATTTTTCTTGGATTTTTTTTCAGATATGAATTGTGTATGATTTTTTAATTCATCTCCAAAATAACGTATACCTTGGCAATACGTCTGATTTCCAGTGAATCCAGTGTCACATGAACATACAATGGTGCCAGGAGAGTTCGTACATGTCGAGTTCGCAGGACAGGTATTATTCAAAGAACAGTGGTCCCTATCTAAAGTAAGAAAATTACCCAGAGGTTGTTTACATATTGGGCCGAGTTACCAGAGATCGAGCGAAGTGTAAGATAATTTTGAGGGTTTAAAATAAGTCTTTATGAAACGAACAGCCACATGCTATTTCTGGGATCTCATAGTATAAAACATATTACGCTTCGTTTTGAATGCCTGTTAACCTGGTTAAAGTAAACAGCCCCTGTAGTTTGCCATGCGCTAAGTATATTTAATATAATAGAATAAAATATTCACTTCGCCCCTTTATATTTAAAAACAGCTACATCAAGAAAAGATATATTGAGTGAATTTGAAGATTATTCAACATGGAGGTTGCGTGATGAGTTGGCAATATGACATTTCTGGCTATTTCGTAAAATTTTCGGCGAATTTTGTTTTCAATTAAAGACAAAGTATTCATTTGCCTAAAAATCATACTAACTTAAAACCATGAGAAACTTTTCTGCGGGCACTTACCACACACAACAACCATTCGTGTTGCTTCAGTTAAAAGTGAAATCGTAGCAGCCACTGTATCTGTCAATTTATCATATTTATAAATCTTTGATGTTGTTGTATCGAGGATATAATAATATCCATTCCCATCTGCAATGTCCACAGTTGTAATACTTCCTGATTGATCTGTTCCTATCTGTGAAGTCTGACCATCGTACGTTGTTTTTAATATCTTGTAATTTGTCTCAGAAGTAAATAGAATCCAGTATATGGTTTTATTCACGGTATCAAGCGCAAGGTGAGTGCCTATTTGAGTGACACCAGAGTGAAGAGTTTGATCAGTTCCATCAGCAAGACTGTACCGGATGAGATTTCGATTGTTTGTAACATCAGTGGTGAAAAATATTGTTCTAGGAAAAATAAAATATAAATTAGATGCTAATGATATACTTTTGTTCAAAAACAAGAAGATAAGTAACTCATTTCAAACGTATAAACATATAACTGAGATATATCTCATGAGCTTAACACGTCCCTGTCTTGCACCCAGAGTCTTCTGTGTTAAAAGGGCGGGGTACAACGCAACGAAGACCCTGTTGAAGCTCATGACGTCACATTCCGCCTGAAGGGTTATAAGGAAAGTATCATATTACATGTTTCCACTTTCATCAGTCTTACTCCGGATTTCGCCATGTTGGTTCATATAGCGTTTTTATCTTGCTTAGAATTTGCGGTTCTTAATAGTTTGTACCAAGAAGGATCTCTGTCTTGAGAACATGTATCTTAAAATGTGCGTTTTGCCAACGGGTTATGGAAAATCTTTGATTTTTCATCTTGTTCGCAAGGTTCAATTTACGTGGCGATTTGCTTCTTTCGTGGAGATTGAAAGGTATTTGTACGGCATCAGTTTTTCCATCGTATTTGTACGACATTGGTATTCGCCCATCGGTTTTAAATATCAAACGTGTGAAGACTGCACAGGATAAAACCGAAGTCAAAGAAGATGATGTTAACATTGATTTCTGGATTTGCGAAGAGCAAAAGTTGTGCGATGGTTATTACCACATTGTTTTCACTCATCCAGAGTCATTTATTTCATGTAAACACGGACGTGATTAATTGTTGAGCGTAAAATACACCGATATGGTTGCAAATGTCATTGACGAAGCGCATTGTATATTAGTGGCGTAGCCAGCCTGACGATTTAGTCATGCTATGCAAATTTTATGTTATTATCAGAATGCTCCAATACCTAAAAACTTTTCGGAAGTATACGAAGTCTCCTTGGAATGGCGAATTATAGCGCTAAGTACATTCCCAATTTTGCCACCATAACAGCCCCATTACGTAATCTAAGTAAAAATAACACGCCATTTACGTGCACAGATACCCACCAAAACGCTTCTATCAACTGCTCTAGCCTCAGCACACTGTATGCATGGCTTACTTTGATACTGTTGATGCAAGTCCCGTTAGCGTATCAGCTATTTTGTCTCAGAAAACAAAAGAAAAGGACGAAGAAAAGATCGTAGCGTATGCAACTAAGAGCTCTGACTGACGTGGAAAAACGCTATTCACAAACTGAAAAGGAAGCTCTGGCTATCATTTACGGAACACTTTGATTTTAATATCTATACGAACATGAATTTATTCCAATTAAAGAACACAAACCGCTGGAAATTATATACGGTAGTTTAAAATCGAAACCATCAGCATCGAACGCTGGGTACTATATTACAAATCCTGCAGACTACCTATCGAGACATCTAGTATCTAGCAGTCGTCAGCAACAGAAAATGACAGAAGAACATTAGATTTTGTTGTACGCCAGTGTACCAAAAGGAATGACTCTCAAAGAAGTTGACGCCGCAAGGCGTAATATCACAGTTTAATATTCATTTTTTGTAAACTGAGTGAATTTTATATAGCAACAACGCCACGGCGGCAGTGCCGTTATAGGATTTATTGCAGAATCAAAATGGCGGCAACAAACAAAAAATTGCCGAACTTAGTTAAGAAGAAATTAATGTAATTATAGATAAATCCACACCGAAAAATACTAAACGGGCAACCGGTTAGGGTGTTTTAGTATTTAAAGGTATGCATGTGTTGTTTATTTAAGCTTGAAAATGATATAAAGTCTTTACGAGTTTACTCAAAATGAATATTAAAAGCATTAAAGCACTCTTTGTTTGTGTATTATCGGGTTTTACATGCACTCGTTCACAAACAAGGAACTCGGAGTTCAATACTGCACTCGGCTTCGCCTCGTGCAGTATTGAACTTCTCGTTCCTTGTTTGTGAACTCGTGCATGTAAAACCCGATAATGCACTCACAGAGTGCATTAATCCTTAAATAAACACTCGTTGTTCCGCTGTACCAATTTCTTTCGAAGCAATAACAAGGCTAATTTAAATTTAATCTTATTCACAATTTCAAATTTTTCGTATTTAGCATTTTATAAGTTACATTAAATCCTCACGGGCTAAAATTCGTGAACACGGTATTCAAATTTTAATAATGAGTGATTTCAATAGTTTTCGTTTTTTTGAGACACCCTGTATATAGAGAGAGCGTAGATAACACTGAGAAAAAAACATTAATTTTGTATTGTTGATTATCATTAAAATTAATAAGAGAATATTATAGCACTCATTGGGGCTTCTTTCCTGAAAATATTCAGCGGCTATGGCAGCATGACGATTTTAATTTTGGCCCTCTATAATTATTTTACTTTTAAGCTTTTATAAATATTCATTTAAATCATTTAAATTTATTGAAACTTTGTTAGAAATATGCATTCTTCTTCATATTTGTCATCCCTACTATACCTGTTATAAGCGTCGATTTGTAAATCCCTGAAATCATTGTCTGGTGACACACCAATATCTGGTAAGTCGTTCCCATCATAGTCAATCAATTTAAGGTTAAAATCAGTCTTGGTGAGATAATAGATACTTTGATTAACTGCATCAACAGCAAAGGGACCGAAATTTGATGGAACCGAAACATTTTTTAAATCACTCCCATCCAAATTTGAGTTGTAAAGTTTCTCACCGTCCTTATAATACCAAAGGCGGTAGTTCAGTTCGTCGTAACCAAGGGTCGCGCTTGGTGTCTTCACCAAGGCTTTAGATTTTCCACCATCAATAGAAACATAGGAAATGTGAGTGGCGTTTGAATACAAGATGTATTCAATTTCCTCTCCATTGTTTTCTACATTTGCAAAACATTTAAAGATTTTAGCAGTGGAAACAAACAGATAATTTGTACTGTGTACTAGGATTCGTGATGTATAGTGTTTACACTGACAGATCAATAATTATAATAAAATAAATTAAATCAATGAGATGTTAATAAAAGCGAAAAAATAAATAAATTTCTGCTATCTTGCGAATCGATGTAGAGTCTTTTCTTCAGAACTATCTGACTATACATTTGTTTATTTTAAGTTTTGCCCATGTTCTTAAAGACTTTGTATGCGATGAAAGCGTCTGATTGTTTGTTTCGAACTGGGTCGCTATTATGAGTAATTTGACAAGCTGCATTTTCATCATGTACATAATTATTAGAATTGCCGGATTACAGGGGAAGGGGGAAGTCTGGATTTTCAATAGGCTAAAAATTGCGAGAAAGATAGTTGGTTTTTTCCGAGATTTCTAAGGTAAACAAGGTTATGAACAAATAATACCCTGATCGTGAAAGGGAGTTCAGACACTTCCATGCAGCCACATACAATTTTAATATTTTTGTGAGCCGTGCCCTTGACCGGATCTGGAATGATTAATCAGGCGCTGCTTGTTAGGATTGGTAGTGGTTGAATGGTTGGGTTGTTGTCTTTGTATGCGCACAAAATGTTATGGAGATGCCTTGCGCCGGCGAAGGATGAATCTGCTCTGATACCAGTTTTTAGGTGGAATTTTGCGCGCGGAACGGACTTTTTACTGTCTGCGCGCTTTCACGCAGAAACTTATGTGAGAAAAACTTTGCTCTGCGCCCAAAATCCCGCCAAGAAAAACAGGCTTTATATGTTAAAAAGCAAGCTCATAGCAGTCTGCCAATATGTAATGGATTATATGTAATTATTATACAACACAAAAGTATTAGGATCACACAGTAGTGTTGAAAATTGAAATGGTCATTTTATGAGCCACAGCAGTTTTAGTTTTTGATGCAAAATAAAAGGTTTGTTTCACATTATTTTATTCATGCGATAGCCACTTCTCTTTGGAAAAATTCATACGAGAACTCGTCTACCAAAAGACGAAAAGTCTTTGGCAGATATGCAAATAATACTAATCGAATCTTATTAGTTCAATTTCTAATAATTTTGTATCGTGACTCCAATTAATTTGGATCCAATCAATAAATTATGATTAAACCCTGCTTTGCGTGGTTTAACGTAACTTACCTAAAGTGAACAAAAGAAAGTAGAGAAACCATTGATTACCCATAAGGAGTATCGATCAATTTTATTTCTAACAAAAACAAAAATGTAAACAATCAGAAGTTTATATGCTTGTGGCTGAGCTAGAGAGTGCTAGGCACCAAGTCCTATATACCATGCAAAAAGACGATCTGAAGCTGCACGCATGTCTAAATTATTCAATACTTTAAAGGTTATTGATTGAAATTACCTCAAAATCAAAAATGTCCAAATTTTGTTAATGAAAAATAATTTTGTATATAACCAGTATACAAGTATAACCATTACGAATACGATCGTTCCATCCGGATACCCCAATAAATTTACACTGCATTACATGATTGGAACGGCATTAAATTTTCTAACACTTGGCTTTCAGATTTTTTAAGGAATTTATTTTTATTAAGGAATTTATTATTCTTCAGTATCGCGGTCGCGGCATGTCAAGCGTTGGCGTTTTAGAATGTTCGGTTTGCCGTTGTATAAAAACGTCGCAGTGTTTTAAGTCTCTTGAACTTTGTAACACTCATTTCAGTCTTATGTGCTGGTTCATGAATATTATTGTACACCAGCCGTTGCCATTTTTTATACTTTTGTATTACGTGTATGTGGAAATGTGTAATAACACTTCCCACCGTAATTCAAAAGTATACAAAAATCGACAACTCCGCATGGCTATAATTTCCGTAATTTACAACATTTCGCAGCCAAAATTGGGAGTTTTACTAATTTTATATATGATTTTTTAGGAAATGTTCTTATTATGCCAGAGTGGGAAATTAAGTACTGCAGCGCAGGTCGTCCATTACGTATTAATATTTTGCATTAAACATTTACGACACACTGACACAGTGTTTCAAAACTTATGGCACAAGGAATTTATTAAGATATACTTTTGACTATCAAATGATCATTTGTGTCGATATGATCAATGACTTTAACTAAAATAAACTTGGCGTATGCCAAACAAAACGTTAAGACAAAATATTAAGTTATTTAAAGCACGTATATAGCGGCGTATATCTAACTAATGTCTGTCCAAGAAAATGACTGTTGCAAAGCATTAATATTAAGATTACCTTTCAAAAGTAGAATTTTACTTCCAGATTTAGCTTCGTTGTGTTTGTTGTGAATAGAAGAATGGTAGCAATAATATTCAGGACAATGTAAAGCGGCAACAGCAGGCACCCTGCCGACTAATTACACCTCCTTGCCCTTGGTATATTTAATTGACCACTGTATTATTTTACTATATACATTTAGAGGTATTGGCCACAAAATATTCCGAGTAATAAATTAAGGAACTAATGATGGATACGCTCAGATACGCTATCGGCATATTGGGAAGTAAAATCGCCCAAGCGCAGGCAGTTCGGGAAATTTCGATTTAGATTTAGAAATATATTTATGGAATATTTCATTATCTCACTAGCACAGAGCAGAGACAGCGGTGTTTAAGATATCCTGGCGACAAACCGAATACATTCTTCGGATGCTTTGCATGCCATACTTACTGTTTACATTTTTGCACAGTTGTAATGGCAAAAATCCGCTCGAATAGTTTTAATAATTAATAATTTGGTTGCCCGTTTTCAACCGAAAACTATAGAATTGGAAAATGTGTCATTGCCGTCTTTCCATCAAGAATAGAATTTGGAAAATGGCAATTCATTGTGATAAAAATGGCAAAATGTCTGGGAGGAATTTCTAAGAAGAGGTCTACATGAATAGACTATACCTTACACACGGAAATAAATAAGCTTATAATTAATAATTATGCCCAACACGCCAATCACAACTATCTGCAAAATAAATTAAGCGATCAAAAATCCATGTGTTATTGTCGCGCAAACAAATTGACAAGACGTTGGTACTGGTGCACGATTGCCCATTGTCATAACACGTTGATACCTACAAAAAATCTTCAAACGAATGTAATTAAAAATGGTCGTGGTGAGAATTCCTCTATGTCATGTTTATAGGAGCTTGCTCTCCCAAGGAATATATGTAATTAAAATGCAGTTGGTGTAATAACAATAAAAAACAGCAAATATAACAATAAATATAAATACTAAAAAGTACTGTAGGAATGTGAACTATAAATCGCCCAAGCGCAGGCAGTTCGGGAAATTTCGATTTAGATTTAGAGCTATATTTATGGAATATTTCATTATCTCACCAGCACCGAACAGAGACAGCGGTGTTTAAGATATCCTGCCGATAAACCGGAAACACTCTTCGGATACTTTGCATGTCATACTTACTGTTTACTTTTTTGCACAGTTGTAATGGCAAAAAAGCCGCTCGAATAGTTTTAATAATCCCCGAGCCGGTGCGGAAAACCGTGCGAGGGTACTAATTCCGCTCGGATATTTACACCCACGTTGTGCAAATGCGAAATCAAAGTTGTCCGCCATTATGCAATGGACCTCACGCCATGGACGGTCTTCTACGTTATGCGCATGCGCCAGAGTGAACCACTAAGCTCTTGATTGGTCGAGACAAAAATTTGTATTTTCAAACGTCAATAAATAACTGTCATTTTGCAAAATTTTGATGAAATTTATAAATTTTATGTTTTCATACAATAAAGAATATATGTATTTTTAATTAAATTAGAGGGAAACTTGAATGTGGTCAGGACTTTTCACGGTTTAACAAATAACAAGACCAAATTTTTGACCGAATTCACCGTGTATAATAAAGTCGGAAGATTTTACACTTGATAATATTTCATCCACAGTTTTAAAAAGTAATTCTTTTGTGGTAAACAAAACTTTAATATTCTCAAATGTATTTCACTATAAATCTGAATGTGTTATGTGATAAGCGACATTATAATTTCATTTATAAACTCCGTTTTCATAATGACAAAAAGAAAAGAAAATCAAAACATTCCCGTGCAAAAACCAGTCGAGGCGTAAAATAAAACTTCGGAAGTTGTATGAGACGTCTGATGTTATATTTCATGGTAATTAATAATTAAAATAATTTACCATAACACTGACTATAGATGAGTAACTTAACTTCCAGAAAAAGGTAAGAATCTTGTCGTATTTTTGCCATTTTTTCACAAAAATATGAGGGTAAACTTTGATTCTTTAAAAATATACGGCCGTTGCGAGTTGCTATGACTTCAGTGCTTCCACGTGCAGAAAAATGTTTCCACACTTTTCTCAATTTCTTTTTCTCACATACGTAATTTTTCTAACGATCATGTTACCATCCCTATGCTTAATTAATAACTAATTTTGTTAAACCGAGGCGAGGGGTTTCTGCATGCATGTATTTCTAGTTAATAATTTATTACACAAGTGTGGTTGCCCGTTTTCAACCGAAAACTATAGAATTGGAAAACGTGTCATTGCCGTCTTTCTATCAAGAATAGAATTTGGAAAATGTCAATTCATTATGATATAAAAATGGCAAATGTCTGGGAGGAATTTTCTAAGAAGAAGTCTACATAAATAGACTATACCTTACTCACGGAAATAAATAAGCTTATAATTAATAATTATGCCTAACACGCCAATGACAACTATCTGCAAAACAGATTAAGCGATCATAAATCCATGTGTTATTGTCGCACAAAAAAAATGACAAGACGTTGGTACTGGTGCACGATTGCACAATTGTCATAACACGTTGATACATGATACCTACAAAAAATCTTCAAACGAATGTAATTAAAAATGGTCGTGTTGAGAATTCCTCTATGTCATGTTTATAGGAGCTTGCTCTTCCAAGGAATATATGTAATTAAAATGCAGTTGGTGTAATAACAATAAAAAACAGCAAATATAACAATAAATATAAATACTATAAAGTACTGTAGGAATGTGAACTATAAATCGCCCAAGCGCAGGCAGTTCGGGAAATTTCGATTTAGATTTAGAGCTATATTGATGGAATATTTCATTATCTCACCAGCACCGAACAGAGACAGCGGTGTTTAAGATATCCTGCCGATAAACCGGAAACACTCTTCGGATACTTTGCATGTCATACTTACTGTTTACCTTTTTGCACAGTTGTAATGGCAAAAAAGCCGCTCGAATAGTTTTAATAATTAATAATTTATTACACAAGTGTGGTTGCCCGTTTTCAACCGAAAACTATAGAATTGGAAAACGTGTCATTGCCGTCTTTCCATCAAGAGTAGAATTTGGAAAATGTCAATTCATTATGATACAAAAATGGCAAAATGTCTGGGAGGAATTTTCTCAGAAGAAGTCTACATAAATAGACGATACCTTACTCACGGAAATAAATAAGCTTATAATTAATAATTATGCCCAACACGCCAATGACAACTATCTGCAAAACAAATTAAGCGATCATAAATCCATGTGTTATTCTCGCGCAAAAAATGATAAGACGTCAATTAAAAATGGGCGTGATGAGAATTCCTCTATGGTACCGGTGCTGCCTAAGATCGCGTTGGGAGCAGGTTTCCTTTAGTCCTTAATATCGGGCTATCTTGAAATTTTGCCATGATAGCTTAATTTTGGTGGAAGCCATTCCATGATATTTTACCCAATGATATTGAACAACGACCTTAAAAATTTGTCGTTTTTGTTATACGAATTTATTGCTTATAGTTCGTTCTAAATAGGATTATGAAAAGTGTGGATCCTGTTGGCAGGCCAAAATTCAACATGTGGCAGATGATTACGTGCAGATATTTTTACCAAGTTATGAGGGCAAAATTGTCGATTCGACTAGAAATATGTCATTCTTTTTTCTCATTTTCATTCTGGAGTAAAGGAACAAGTAAATCGATTGGTAAAGTTATGTCAGCATCGCCAAAGATTCGCCTACAGACGTATGGTGAAATACGAGGGCTTAAGCAATAACAGGAGAAATCGCATAATAAACAAGTTATCACCTACCTTCACTTAAAGCCATCCTTAAAAATACGCCTCCGGAAACTGAAATCGTCGTACGTAAAACACTTCAGCAGGGAAACGTAGTAAAAATTTGCCAACTTTGCCATAATAACACACTGAGTAGACTCGTTTAACACGCG